TAATATAACATAATGGTAATAATAATAATAATAATAATAATGATGATGATCATTTATTAACGGATCCACTGGGTTGCTCTTCCCTCTTAAAAATAAATCAAATGAAGTTAATATTTACAAATTACGCAATACACAATTAAAAGTAGAAATAGGAAGATCCCAGATTACAGTAAAACTAACTAACCACTCTGTACTCTGTTATATGAAAAGGTTCCTTGAAAGTCTTAAAATGGTTCTGTAATCTTCACTGTTTCTAATAGTTTCTGATAGATTGTTAAATAGCTTCGACGCATTATCTTGGAAGGCGCCATTTTCGGTCGGGACTCAGTAATCTAATTCAATTGCTTGAGCGCAGTTTCTTGAGGCATTCCTGTTTTATTCTTTTAAGATAATTTGGCCAAGTCTCAGTGGTATGCAAAGTTTTAAAACATGATTTCATGAGGTTCAAATCTCTTCTCTCTTTGATTGGAAGCCATCCAATTTTTAGTACATCCCGAAAGTTCTTAACATAGTAACCGAGTACAAAACTTCCGGTAACAAATTGAACTCATTGCAAACGGCGAAGTAAGATTTATGGTAGAGGGTAGGCAGATCGGCATAATGTAGTTTTGACAAGAGAAAAGTCCAGAAGGTCTAATTTTGACACGAGAGATGTCCGGGAAATGGTCAGACAGAGTAGAAATTGGTAGATGGCGTGAAAGCTTTGGCTCAGCTCTGTGACCTGTACTCTGTTCGAGCACGCTATTTTAACCAATGACAGCGCGCGTTTATCGGAGCTTTATAATTTTCAATTTCTCCTTTTCCTATCTTGCCACTTCCGGAACCCGCCGATTGAAGGCTCGTTATTATCTTCAGGGGAACAGACCCCGGAATCCCACCTACTTTGGTAAACCTTTATATCAGAATTACAAGGAAGTCCCTTTAGGAAATCGATTGATTCGCGGCTATGAGCAAACCTGAGAAGCAAATTATTTCACCTAATCGCAGTGCCACTCCACAAATTTCTAGCTAGTGTCAGTGTCAGTTGTCATGTTCTTTTAACAGACATAAC